AATCCTGTAAACATTACTGTCAGTAACTTACAAACTCTTTCTAGTTGTAACTGCCATAAAATAGTTCTGTAAACATCACTGTCAGTAACTTACAAACTCTTTCTAGTTGTAGCTGCCATAAAATAGTCCTTGTAAACTGTCAGTAACTTACATACTCTTTCTAGTTGTAACTGCCATAAAATAGTTCTGTAAACATCGCTGTCATTAACTTACAAACTCTTTCTAGTTGTAGCTGCCATAAAATAGTCCTGTAAATATTACTGTCAGTAACTTACAAACTCTTTCTAGTTGTAACTGCCATGAAATAGTTCTGTAAACATCATTGTCAGTAACTTACAAACGCTTTCTAATTGTAACTGCCATGAAATAGTTCTGTAAACATCACTGTCAGTAACTTACAAACTCTTTCTAATTGTAACTGCCATGAAATAGTTATATAAAAGTGCTTAGGATAAAATTTTCACCTCCTTGATCACAGTTAGTTTTCTTTGTTGTGTGTTCAGTAATGTAGATCGTGCATATTCAGTGTTTACAGGATTTCAGTTCAAACAGATTTCAATTCCAGCATAAAAAGATGAATTAATTGTATTCCAAAATTTGTCTACTTCTTGAGACATATTGTGAGACAAATCTTACAGATATGATCCTAACACTTTGTAGCACATTTATATCCTAAAAATCCATAGTCTTATTGATAATATTACATTACACTTGTCTGCTTAGGTAACAGACTTTGGTTTGTCAAAGTTCGTTGATGCTAATACTATGTTGAAGACGTTCTGTGGAACTCCAACATACCTTGCTCCAGAAATTCTTTTAACGGCTGGAAGTGGAAAATACACCAAAGCTATTGACTGTTGGAGTTTAGGTGTTATTCTTTTTATTTGGTAAGTTATGATTTAAAACATGTAAATAAATGTGCTGCTAATCAGTAGTTTGTTACAGCCGGGCAATTAATATATACAAGATTTTATGTTTTTAAAATGCCTAAATAATTTCTTCAAGATACGAGCTTGTTTATCTTATGTTCTAAGTTGTATTGGACCTCAGATTTTAAAAGCTGGAGGAATCTATTGTTTTAATTTTTTGATCAGAGTGAAAATAGATGTGGCTGTGTTTAATTAGCGTTATCTTTATTCACGATGTCTTGAGTTAGCAGCCCACGAGTTGGCAGTGGGTGCTACTGATTATTTGCCTTCCCACTGGTCTATCAGTTCAAAATTAAGGACAGATAGTGCAGATGGAATATCCAAAATCAAACAAAAAAATCAGCCATGTTTCAAATTTCTCTTAGCTAGAAAATAATTTTCTGGTAACTTCAAAGTAAGATTACTAATAATGTTTACATATAATTTTAGGGAAGAAAAGTTAAGGTACAAGTACATTCTGATAATGTTTACATATAATTTTAGGGAAGAAAAGTTAAGGTACAAGTACATTCTGATCATGTTTACGTATAATTTTAGGGAAGAAAACTAAGGTACATTCCGATAATGTTTATGTATAATTTTAGGGAAGAAAAGTTAAGGTACAAGTACATTCCGATAATGTTTATGTATAATTTTAGGGAAGAAAAGTTAAGGTACAAGTACATTCC